ATAATTGTTTAGTATTGGTAAAGTTATATATCTAAGCCAGTTATATTTCACTAGAATGTAAGTTTCACAGAGGCAAGATGGGTTATTTCTGTTCACTGATATATTAAAAGGACTAGAACAGTATTTGGCACTAATAAGTACTTGTTGAATAAATTATTTACCTCGGTTATTCACTCTTCTTTTAAAATTTTAATTTATCTTCTAATTAGCTGGATTTCACTGTTGTATTTGTGTATACGTATAAACATACACACACTATAGGGTTTTTTCCTCCAAGAAAAGCTCAGACATGCTATGATGCTTGAGTTCTTTCTGTTTGAAGACTTGGACTATTATCTTCTGGCATTACATATTCTTTTCTCGTGAACTCTGAATATTAGTGTAATAAATGGTCACGAATTCTTTATAACCTTAGTGGTAAGTGCCCTCCTATCATAAGTAGTTGTAAAAAATGATTTTAGTGAGAGGAATTGGGGAAGAGAGAGAGAAACACTGATGTGAGAAACAATGATTGTCTGCTTCCCACTTGCACCCAACTATGTGCCCTGATCAGGAGTTGAACCTGCCACCTTTCAGTTTGTGGGACAATGCTCCAAACAACTGAGCCACACCAGCCAGGGCTAATTAGCTATTAAACACACACACATACACTTTTATTGACTACAGAGAGGAAGGGAGAAAGAGAGATAGAAACATCATTGATACATTACATCCTATACACCCCACACTGGTTATAGAGCCTGGAATTCAGGCATATGCCCTGACCAGGAATCAAACCATGACCTCCTGGTTCATAGGTCAACACTCAACCACTAAGCCATTCTGGTGGGCTAATTAGCTATTTTTTATTGTGAGCTTTTATTCATTTGTTTGCCACACTTATTTGTGAGTAAAAGTTAAAATTTTATTTTGATAGGCCATATTACTACTATCTCTGATGATATTCTTCAGTAAGTAAGTATTTTGTGAGCACCTTCTGCTAAAAAGTGTGTATTATATAAATACTAGAGGCCTGGTGCATGAATGTGTACAAGGTGGGGAGGGTTTGGTGGGTCCCTCAGCCTGCCCTAGCCCTCTTGCAATCAGGGACCCCTTGGGGGATGTCTGACTTCCGGTTTAGGCCCCATCCCTGCCTGGTGTGCAGGGATGGGGCCTAAACCGGAAGTCAGACGTCCCCCGAGGGATATAGCAACGTGCCAAGCAGCAGGTGACCAGGGAGGAGCCCAAGCGGGGACGGCCTGCTGCTGCTGCTCCCTAGGGCTGTTGCTGAATGGGGAGAACCACCCGCCACCGCAGCTGTGTTTGCCAGTCCTGAGCCCAGCTTCTGGCTGAGTGGCGCTCTCCCTGTGGAGCGCACTGACCACCAGGGGGCAGCTCCTGCATTGGGTGTATGCCCCCTGGTGGTCAGTGCACATCATAAAGACTGGTCGACCGGTCATAACAGTCACTTAGGCTTTAACACATTATAGATGGATGGCCAATTAACCCTATCTTCCAGGAGCCTGTCTTGTACAGTACATGGAATAAGTATGTTGATACAATATGAAGTAGAGTGTGATGTCTTAAAAGAAACACAGTGCCTAGATGTTCTGAATGAGCAATAATTACTAAGAAGAATGAAGCAAATAAACATTTATTAAAAGCCTGTTGTTTTGGCAAGCAATAAAGAGCTTTCACAGACATTATTGCCTTTTATCATCAGGACAAGTTGTAAGAAAAGTTATCATTATCCTTATTTTATTGATACAAAAATTAAGCTTAAGTAATTGACAAATTATCACACAGAAAAAGTTGACATTTGAACCCAGTTTTGCCTAATTCCAAATTCTATAACCAGACAAAGAAACTATAGAGAAAGTTACAGGCCTGTATCCCTGATGAACATGGATGCTAAAATCCTCAACAAAATAGTAGCAAATCAGACATTAAAGAGATCATATACCATGGCCAAGTGGGATTTATTCTAGGATGCGAGGCTAATGTAATATCTGCAAATCAATAAATGTGATACATTACATAAACAAAATGAAAGGAACTCTGGCTTTTCAGTCAATTGTTTTTCTCTTACATGTAACAGTATTAATTCATCCCCCTCCCCAAAGATTTGCTCATTGCTTTTTCATATATCACTCTAAATTATGTAATTTATATATCATGCTAGATTTTGTTCATATGTTCCATTACTGTTACTTTGAAATCTTACACTTCAAGGTTCCTTACAATTATACCTTCTATTTTTCAGTACTTCAAAGCAAGGATCAACAGTACAACTTAAGCTGACCCATGTCCTCTCTAGAACCTATAACAATTTTCATGTCTGCTGTTATTCTTTCCTGTTTGAGGTGCCTCTTTCATTGCTCTCTTCTTTAAATCCTGCTAATCAAGGCTCATCTTGAATCCCCCAGAAAGCTTACTTAACTATCCTCAGTCCTTCTGCTCATTATTTTCTCTGAATATAGATAGCACTGCATTCCCTCAAAACACACAGAATTACGTGTTTTTAATTATTTCTACCAATAGTAGCTTGTGTAGTATTTGAGTGAGGGACTTTTATTTATACAGTTCTTACTTTCTGCAGTCTTAGGCACTACAGAGTGACACAACTGAAGGAGATGAAGGTCAATGTCATGACCGTGTATTGAGGAGTTTTGAACAAATTCTTGGGAAAACAAGTTCTCTGAGATTATCCTATATTTCTCACGGCATAAATAGTGATATGTAAATGGAAAGCTAGCAAGACATCTTGAAGAACATTGGCTTGTAATTCATGAGAGAGCAGAAAATGAACATATGCACCTCGGTGCTTCAGATTGTCTATTATGATGATGTTTTGTTTTCATAAAGCATAGGATAGTACCATGCTATAAAATAAATGTGAATGTCAACTTTCAATAAAGCAACTGTGACCGATTATAGCATGCAGGTCATCAACCACAGATACTAGAGTGTGGTAGTAAAATATAAGCCTGTGTATAGTTTCACTTATCAGTTTAGGTAAAGAGAATAATTTGTCACACTATTACTGCACTGGTAAGTGAGGCAACTAGACTTAAGGGAGAAATGAATATAAAGCCCAGATACTAAAGCAATGCATGAAAACAACAGATGGCAAATCAAGTAAGTCAACAAATGTTTATCTAACATTTTATCTACAGGGGAATCTAAAATAAGTGAGTCTTCCCTCAGTAAATTTTCATAACTTGATGGACCATGCAACGCTGACAAAACTTCTGATTTACTGATTATGTAAAATGCAGTTTGAAGGTTCTTATTCATTGTAATTCTTTCAATATTAGCATCAGTGGACACCGAGATTATTCAGAACCTGGATTTGCATCAATTGGAAGCATGGCCCATAGGCCAAATATGAGAATAGGACCAATAAAAAGAGCTCTTTCTGAGTGAAAACTACCTTCTTTTTATACCCCAAAGTAGTGAAATGTCTGATCACATTAGTACTGTATAATCTCCAAAACAAAACAAAACAAAACAAAACAAAAAAGGCCCGGCAATTGAAAGCATCTTGTAAACCACTTAGTAATTCAGAAACTTACATTTTAAAAGTTACCCGTAGGCAGAGATAGCTTTGATTCAGAATTGTAGTCTACAGCCACACCACCCTGAATGCACCCGATCTCGTCTGATCTCGGAAGCTGAGCAGGGTCGGGCCTGGTTAGTACTTGGCTGGGAGAATTGCCCTGAGTGTGAATGCACTTAATAACTTGTTTATGAAGCTGCAGACAGAATGGGAGTGTCTCTTAAAAGATCCCAGTGAAACCGAGTAACAGAACACTGGTAGGACTGACGATCCCATTATTATTAAAGGCTGTTACTGAGTAACTGCCCAGAGAGAGCACATTGCTACACAGAACGCTCTCCGGAATTCACTGCCACGAAAAACCATTTCCGTCAAGAGGTCAACAGAACCTCTTAGTTCTCCAGGAAGCCTGGCACTGAAAGCGTGAATAACCCAGTCATGATGTCGTCGCCGCCGAGGGAGGACAGGAATAGAACCCAAATCCCTGGACTCCCCCGCCTTGTGTTTTCCACTAATTGTGCTCCTTTCTATTCATCCAAGGGCAGCGAGTGTGCAGGGCTGGAGAAGGGAGCGAGTGGTGGACACAAACAAACCGGGTCCGCGAGGTGGAGGCTGCGCTGAGGTTCCCCGGAAAGGCAACCACACTCCGGGGCACTTGCTTTTGTTTTTGGCCGAGAAAGATGAAAGCGACAGCAACCCTAAGCCCCTGGGACCAAGAACTGGAACTAGGTACTGCCAGTTGTGGTAACTCTCTCTTCCTCATCATCAGGCCTTTCCTTTTCTTTCTTTTTTTTTAACCTCTCCCTTCCCGCCAGCCCTAAACGCTCACCCCGGGGTCTGTCCGCCCCTTCAGCCCCTCCGCACAGACGGGGGGAGTCGGAGGGAGGGGGGTCCCTTTGGCCCGAGCCTGCGTCCAGTCCTTAGGAGAATCGCCCTGGGGCTTCCTAGGGGCTTGAGCGTTTGTTTTTTTCCGCAAGAAAATAAATGCCAGGCGAGCATTATAAAATGTGCTGCAAATCATTTGCAGCAAATGGTTAGAAACTTAGGAGGTGGGAACCGGGCCTGTGCAGCAGCTTCTCAGGACAAAGCGGCCTTTAGACAATAAGCTGGATGGAGCCCTTCTCTCTAAGCCGGGCGCCTCGCACGGCTCAGCCATCCTCTGGACCACGGCCTCCCCACCGAGGGCGCGTGTGGACACTTTCCCCCGGACCTGGTGGGGGCGGAGACCGGCGCTCCGGGACCCCGGGGGATTCCAAACCGTTGCTCCGCCCGCGGGGTGGGGCCAGCCCAACGGCCGAGCCTGCGCAGTGGGCCCGGCCGGCTCCAGGACTCCGGAGTACTCTAAGTCCCAGAATGCAACGCGCCGCGGGCGGGGAGGGCGGGCTTCCGCCTTACCTGCCGCGAGCGTAGTTCAGCGGCTACTCCCGCTTTCCCACCTCCTCCCCTGTTCCCGTCGGCCTCCTCGCCACAGCTCAAGGCTACTTTCTCGCGGAACCCGTGAGCGGAAGCCCTCGCCACCTCAGCTTCGAAGCCCTTCGCGTCCTCCGCTCGCTCTTCCTCGCCTGAATGATGCCCGACTCCTTGACCGGAGTTGGGTAGCGTCACGCGAGAGGAGGCGGCCCTCGGAAGCCAAAGGCCGGGGCAACCCGGCCGCACTTCCGCCTCCCCGGCTGCCGGAAGGTAGAGCGCACGCGCTCCCGGCGACTCCGGCGCGGTTGACTTCCGCTCCCACTGTGCTCTGCGAGCCGAATCATGGATCACACTGGTAAGGAGGCGGAGGCAGAGAGGGGTCCCGGTACCAAGCCCCCTTGGCCGGCCCGGGACGGGTTGCCTGGAGGGCACAGGGGCGTTGTGCTCGCCCCACAGCCCCGGGGGGCGGCGGGGAGGAAGGAATCTCACAGAACCCTCCCCGTGCCCGGCCAGCGCCTGCCGCTTCCCGGCCTACTCTCCGCTGTGGTACCCACAGCCTCAGTGCCGGCAGTCGCCGCAGCTTATCCCGTTCTGCGGAGCTCCGAGCCCGAAGTGCGGACGGCGCGGGCCCTGTGGGGAGGAGAGGGCGCCGGGGGCTCTCTCTCTGCCTTGCATTATGGGGATTGGCGGGTAGATTCCAATCTCGGAGTCGGGGAAGCCTTGCTAGGCTGGGGAGCCGATGCGCGCGAGAGGGCTGGAGACTTCCTGCTGCCTCCGTCCGCTTGGGGCGGCTGCTCCCGGGGCCCCCGCCCGCCGCTAATTGCATCTCGGGTCCCTGGTGGACTAGGGGTGCGAGGAGGGCATCAGGTGCGGCTTTCGGAACGATGCTCGGAATCTGCGTTTTCACCTAAACCCAAAGCATGCTCCGTGCGTCGGCTGTGGTCCTTAACTCATCATTTGGGTACATTTACAAAAGACACCTTAAAATCAAGACATTCACAATCCCTTTCTCCAAGTGATGGTTCCACTCTTAGTTATGTGTGGGTTGTTTTTCTTTGTTTTTGTTTTTGTTTTGTTTTGGTTTGGTTTTGCTTTCTTGTGGCTTTTCGTTTGGAGTTAAAAAGTGCTCCATATAGTTGTGTCAGCCCTATGGCAAGGAGGGAAAATGGGCTTTTCCCTGTATTAAGTATTGGTTGGGATGTCTTCAGTGATCAAATCAAATATGTTTATATGCCAGATACCTGTAGGCCTGGGGATGGAATGATAGAATGGTAAACAAGACGGAGTAAGTTATTGCTGTCATAGAGATTACATTTTATTGGGGAAGACTCAAATTTTAAAAATCCCCAATTTACAAATCTTAAGTTCTTTGAATACAATAAACGGATGCTGTAGTAAAGACTTAACTGGGAGGACCCGACCGGGTGGTCAGGGAAGACCTTGCTGTGTTACATTTATAATTTTATATTTGATGGATGAGACGAAGCCAGCTGTGGAATAATAAATATGTGGAGGAAAGCAGGTACAAAGACAAATAGTAAAAAATGGAGAAGACCAGTTGGCTGCAGCTTAGTTATTAGCAAGAGGGAAAGAGCTCTAGGCTGAGATTGGAAAGGAGGGTAGGAGAAAGGCCGTGCAAGACTTTGAAGGCCATTGCAAAGATTTGAATTTTAAGTGCAATATGAAGCCATTGAACAGAAGTGAGGAGAAACATAATCTTTTAAAAATATAATAGAGTCTATGGAGAATGGTATAAGAGAGGGAGGTAACAATTATAGAAAATAGACTTGCAGCAAACTAGAAGGGAGGCTTGGCTTATTAAAGGTGGCTCTGTTTAGTAAAAATGGAAATGGGTAGATTCAATAAGTATTTCTGTGATAGTACTTAAACACGTACTGATGGATTGGTTTGGATATATGTGAGAGAAGAGAGAGGCCTTTGTTTTGGTTTGAGTTGGGGAAAAACTTGGGAGAAAAACAAGCTTTTTAAAGGGATAGAGGTGATTCATGGGAATTTGGGAACATGATTTTGGACTGCTAATTAAGAGATGTACATTGAGAATCATGCAAGGGGAGATGTAAAAAGAAAGATTTGAGCCAAAAAGCAGGTATTTGGGATTTGTTCTGCATAGAGATGAGGTCCTAGACTCCAGTTTGGAAATTAGAATTGAAAGTCTGGAATCTTGATGTTAGAGTAGTAAACAAATAATGTTAGCAAAATATTTCCATTTGAGCCTATTACTCAATGGAAGTTAACCCCCATCCACAGTTTTTAGAGAATATTGTGTTAAGTTATAATATGGGTGGGTATGTACTGATTATTTGGTATCCTAATTTTCCTAAATGAAAAAGTTGCCCAAGAAAGTGAATGTCCTCCTAACATGAAAATATCCACCAATGAGCTGACCACTGGAAAATTAGTTCCTACTAAATAATCCCTGGTGCCTAACTAGCTTTTCTATTCTTTTAGTTAGTATTGTATCCTTGTTTCATATCAGTCAACAGTATCAAATGCTACTGTTATGATAGTGATTACAAAGCTTAGCTTACAAAAGAATCAGGTTTTCATGAAATTCATAAACTATTTGAGTCACAAATAAAGTCATTGGCAAGTAAGGAAATGCCTGTTAGCCAGTTAATTTGAAGACATTATGATCTGATAGGCATTTCAGAAGAATGATTTTAATAACAGGATTAAGAGATGCCCTTGAAAAGGATGAAACCCTCAAATGTTACACAGAAATGAGATTTTTTATGATCACGCTAAAAAAGTCAAACATATAATGAAGGCTACCCTGTGGTGCCCTAATAGAATTTTGCTGGAAAAATTACTCTAAGAAACGTATAGTTAACACTTTGCTCATTCTAAGAATTGGCACTTAGTTGTAAATGTAGCCTAGAATTTTTGGGAACATATAGGTAAAATTGTATACTTAACTAGTGCTCTAAGACAGATTTTATATACAGAGCACTAAGTTAGGTATGCAATTTTACCTATATGTTCTCAAAAATTCTAGTTTAGCACTTCTTAGTTGGGATTCAGGAATCTGTGTTTTAACAACTCCACCAGGTGATTCTCATCATGAGAGAAGGTTGGGAAACACTGGGCTAAGCAAGTATCAGTAGTGACTTCAAGTGTTCAGGGTGATGATGTTAAAAGGACTTGGAATGTTGGTATTTTGATCATTCACCAAGGTAAAATCATTAAGAGTGCTTTTAATGTTTGAAGGGAAAATTTGAACTGTTAACTGTCTACAACTTGCTTTTTAATTATTGGAAAATTAGGAATACCTTTGAGCAAAAAAAAATTTTTTCCCATCTGTTATATCTTGTCTTTTGGCTATTGATTGCTTGTGGGTAGTTATACTTAAATAAGCAACTAGTGTGTGTGAAAGCAGATGAAATATATTATTCAACTCAATACATTTAGTGAAGTGTTGAAACTTGGGTTTATCTGAACTCAAGATTTTAACTGTCCATGTAATTCCTTTTCCGTGAATTTCGTAAGTAATAGCAAAAAGGAGAATGAAAGATATTTAAATTATTAAGGACCCCTTTCATTTCCTGCTTTGTGGTATTTCCCTTCCAGTCTTTAGTAGCTAGAGGTATTTTTTTGTACTGTAATACCTTGTCATAGACTTGAAAAGGTGACTTTCAAGCTTCCAAATGGAGTCAGTTCTATGAAATAATGCTACTGTTACTCATGGGATGAGTTAATTTATTTTTTAGTCAATAACTAGTAGGCACTTAGAAAGTGTCAGTTGTTTAGATATAGTTGAAGTGCAGAAATCTTGCATCTTCCTAAACTAAATTTTCCATTACAATGCTGATTAAGAATAAGAATCATATGTGAGCCCTGACTGGTTTGGCTCAGTGGATAGAGCATTGGCCTGTGGACTGAGGGGTCCAGTCAAGGGCACATCCCCAGTAGGAAGTGTGGGAGAGGCAGCTGATCAATGTTTTTCTCTCATTGATGTTTCTAGCTCTCTGTCCCTCTCCCTTCCTCTCTGTAAAAAAATAAAAAAAAATGAAATAAAAAAAGGAGCCATATGTGAACAAATAGAAATGTTATGATGTGGATACAGTATTGCATCTTTCTACTAGTAAATGGTATGACAATTTTTACTATGTTTCCAAATGTGTTTTAGAAAAACTATTTTACACTTAAGGAAATAATCATCTTCCTTAAAATAAACTTCAATTCAGTGCATTATTTATTTACTTTTACCATTGTCAGTGTTAGTTTTGTTTTCAATTTTATTGATTGCCCTGATGTAGATTCAGTTTACTAAATTTATTGAGTGCCTACTTTGCATGCTTGATGGAGATGGGAATGCTTTTCTTTCTATTTCTCCTCCTTTCTCTTACTTTTTCTTTTAAAATATAGTTACTTTAAGACAGAAGTTTTTATCTTGGGCTTATGCAGAGTTTTATGTTTCTATAAACTCCTCTGGAATTTTATGGGAAAAAAATTTTTTTTTTTTTAGTTTTTATTTTTTTTTAAATCTTTATTCAGATTATTACAAATGTTCCTTTTTTACCCCCTCCATTGCTCCCCTCCACCATGTTCCCACCCCACCCTCTGCCCTTTCCCCACCCCCATTGTCTTCTTTCATAGGTGCACAGTTTGTGTTCAGTCTCTTCCCACATCCCCACTCCCATTTTCCCCAAGAATCGTCAGTCCACTCCCCATCCATACCTCTGATTCTATTATATTCACCAGTTAATATTGTTCATCAGATTTTTTTAATTTCCTTGGTTTTTAGATTCACTTGTTGATAGTTACATATTTGTTGTTCATAATTTTTATCTTTTTCTTCTTCCCCTTCCTAAAGAACCCCCTTCAGCAATTCATATAATCCTGGTTTGGAGGTGATGATCTCCTTTAGCTTTTTTTTATTTGTGAAGCTCTTTCTCTGGCCTTTGATTCTGAGTGATAACTTTGCTAGGTAGAGTATTTTTGGCTGTAGGTTCTTGCTATTCATCACCTTGAATATTTCTTGCCATTCCTGTCTGGCCTGACTTCTGTTGAGAAGTCAGCTGACAATCGTATGGGTGCTCCTTTATAGGTAACTACCTGCTTTTCTCTTGCTGCTTTTAATATTCTCTCTTTGTCTTTTGCTCTTGGAATTTTAATTATGATGTGTCTTGGTGTGGTCCTCTTTGGATTCCTTTCGTTTGGGGTTGAAAATTTTATTGTCTACATTTTTAGGGAAAGTTCTATAACTTGTCAACTTTTTGAAAGGTTCCATGTCTCAAAAAGCATTTCTTTAAGGGTTTATCCAAAACAGAGAAAATGAGCACTTAAACTTACATAACAAAATATTTAAAATCTGAACCCAGATGTTCATACCTTGATAATGTTGGGTGTACTGTTTTAATACCTGTAATAGAAAAATCTTCAAAAAGAAAAACTAACAGAAATTACAACTTTCCCCTCCTAATATAGACAATGAGTTACAAGGCACTAATAGTTCTGGATCATTGGGTGGTCTTGATGTTCGAAGAAGAATTCCTATAAAGCTCATCTCCAAACAAGGGAACAAAGCCAAAGCTGCACCTCGCACGCCAAGGACTATAAACAGAATGCCTGCAAAGGCTCCCCCTGGTGATGAAGGTAATTTGGTTTAACTCACAGGTCCAGAAGTCTTTTTGTTGTATCCATTTCCACCAAATAATTCACATGATTTTGCTTGTTTATACATACCTTTTAAAAATTTTACATACTTTCATCACTCCTCAGTCTTAACTGATGTCTCATTGTGGCATGTTGTATTTTTCTGTCTCTTTATAAATACAGAAGGCTCAAAAGTAATTCGATGATGGTTCGTATGGAAAATAATGCAATAATTATTAAATAATAATGCAATAAAAATAAAAGTAAAATAATATTAAAAGTAAAATTGTCCCTCTCCCCCCCCTCCCCCACAACTAGTCTCTCCCATAACTTGTCTCCCCAAAAATGATATGTTATGGCATTTTTATTTTTACTTTTTTTCATGTAGCACTGCCCCTTCATATTATTTGCTTTCTTAGTACATCCAGATATACCTCATTTAACAAAATAGGTTTAGATATTTCATTTATCAATAACTTAACAATTTTTCCAAATTTTTGCTGTTAAAAAGTGCTGCCATAATTATTCTTGTACATATACCTTAGTATGTGTACTTTGTAGAATTTAAACTTTTCGTGATTTAGGCATTTTAGAACTTGATGGATACTGTGCAGTTTAGAAATTGACATTTATTTTCAAGTGGCTTTTCAAAAACAGCACATCATTTTATACTTTCACACACCAATATTAGTACATACTATTAACCTTTCAAAAATTTTGGTTTTTTATGCATTTTTAAAATTATGATTGTATATCTCTTCATAGTATTGGTCATTTCTTTTTCCTGGGAGATTTACCTGTTTATATTCTTTTCCAATTTTATCTTCTGTTTGGCTGTCTTTCTCTCAATTTTTATGAGTTCATTGTAAATTAATAAAATTGGTCCTTTGTCTATATTGCGTATATTCCCCAATCTGTCTTGAATTTTGTATATAAAACTAGAGGCCTGGTGCACAGATTTGTTGCAAATTGAAAGTAAATTAATTGGGAGGTGGCAGGGCGGGACTGGGAGAGATGGGCCGGGCTGGTGGCACTTGGGACTCGAAGGGCATCTGCAGAGTGAGGGGAGTCCCTTCAGCGTGTGGGGTCCCTCGGCCAGGCCTGCAGGGATTGGGTCAAAACCGGTCTTTCATGTAGAACTGCCCCTTTTCTCGAACTCCGACATCCCCAGAGGGGTCCTGGAGTGGGAAGGACACTCTGCAAAGTTTCTGTCCTTCAGCAGCTCCTGTGTTGAGCATCTGCCCCCTGGTGGTTGGAGTGTCTGCCACTTGGTGGTCATTGCACTTCATAGCTACCTGTCAGACAGTTGCTAAAGCTTTTATATATACATATATATATGTATATGTATGTATTTTGTTGTTGTCTTTTCTGTTATGACTTCTAGGTTTTATGACTTTCTTAGAAAGGCTTTTCCTATATTCCATGAATATAAAACAGTTTCCTTAACTATGGCCTGTGGGGCAAATAAAGTTTTATTGGAACATAGCTATGCCCGTTCATTTAAGTATTGTTTACGGCTGCTTTCAAAATATATTGGCATAGCTGGTAAGTGCATAAATAAGTATTTACTTATATGGAATTTTACAGAAAGTTTGTTGACCCCTGCTTTGGAATATTATGGATAATATGTATTTTGTTACTTAAAATAAAAAAGTGGAACCTGGGTTTATTTTCTCTATAAAACAGCCAGCTATGTGTCCCAACTATTTAAAAAAAAAAATGTTTTTTTCTTGTTGAATTGGAATCTCACTGTTACCATATGTTAAAGTTCTATTAGTATTTGTATCTATTTCTAGATTTTCTATTCCAGACATCTGTCTATATTCCTTTTTTAGAATCAAATTGTTTTGATTGTACCTTATATTATGGTTCCCTTTGTTATAGAATTTCTCTCCCTATCTGAACAGTATTTGAAGTCAAATGTTACAAATTCTAGTAGTAGAACTTAGGCTGCTGCTGCATTTTCAATAACTAGATTCCCCCCCTTTGGCCTTTTTTTTTTATTTATTTTTTTATTTATTTATTTTTTAAACTATACAGTAATGTAAATATCTTGTAATCCAAACAATAGAAAAAAGCTAAAATCTCCCTTCTATCCTTTTCCTCTCAGGTATCCTTTCATCTTCCCCTCTCCACCCAAGCCCACATCCCTTTTTAGGGGGAACTACCATTACCAGTCTCTCTCTCAATAGAGCAAACTGAGGCTGAAGATAATTTTTTGATACATTCGATTCACCTATTTGGGGTAAAAATTGTTCATTGTTTCCCCCTTCCCCCCCTCACGCCCTCCCAGGCATTGTTCAAAATAACGGAGTTTTGGGTGCCAGTATGGTACAAATATACAATATGTGGTTTAATTATAGATGGCAGTGTCGGTTGAACTACTCTGAAAAATAATGTATTCCTAATTTCATTGGCTGTTCTCAGTAATTTTTTGAGTTTTAGATAAATAAGAAAAATTGATTTTTTAATTTTATTTTGAGTTTTAGATGACAGTGGTTTTTTAAATAAGGTATAAATGAGCCATATAAGAGCCTAAGTTCACTCAAGGACACTCTTTGAACTTTACATTCGGTTGGAGATAATTAGATAGCAGTACACTGGAGTATCCGTATTAGCTTTAAAATTTTTTTGCATCGGTGTGTGTGTGTGTGTGTGTGTGTGTGTGTGTGTGTCCGTGTCTATCCATGTCTATCTGTCCTATCCTGGTTTGTCCTTGTGTGTTTGTATATAGGTGCTGTAATTTAGCCATATGGTTAAAGTTAAAAACTTGTGTTTCTCTCTACTTTGTTTACTAGTTCTAGGGTCAAAACAGTTGTGAGAAGCCTAGCATTTTGGAGGGATAGATTTGTCTTTACTTTAGTTAATTGGAGTTTGCCTAGAATCCCTATCAGGGATTGGTTCATTTGGTTCTTATGAGATGAGAGGATTACCATCAGCCTTTTCGTTAGGTCAGAAAAATTGAGTTCATGCAATCTTCATATTGCTATGCAATATAAGAGAGTATGCTTGTGAATAGATATGATATGGCTTTTTCTGTTTGGGTGATTAACCAAGGAGTGGTTTTAATTTGAAGGATGAGGTATCAATATGTTGATTTTTCTAAAATCAGGCTCATTTTAAGGCTGAAGAAGCTAAGATACCTAATTTACTAAGTCATAAGAAGAAAATTTGCAGAATTTTTTGTGTTATATTCTTTTATCCTCTTGTAAGCATGATGTGTTTGTAGTAGATCAAAGTAAATGATATATTAGTATATCTTGAAAATTTGTGTGATAAACATGATAGTAATTAATAAAGTTTTATATTAGAAATAGTTGGGTCAGTAATAAGAACATTTGAATGGGAATGAAGAGTTTTGAGGTCTGTTCCTAGCTCTGCCACATATCTCTCTGTGTTGTTACAGTCCCCTTAATACAATATTTTCTATTATGAGGTAAGAGAGTTGGACTGCATGATCACTAAGATAAATTCCAGCAGATGTTAAAACTAGTCTTGATTATCTTGTTCATAGAAGAGCTTTGAAAAGAATCGGGGAACAGGCCTATTTTACATTGTAATGAAATTTTGAGATATGAAAAGTTAATAAATAACCCTTTATTTTCTCAGAAGGATTTGATTATAATGAAAAGGAACGGTATGACTGTAAAGGGGGCGAACTGTTTGGAAGTCAACGAAGATTTCCTGGACACCTTTTTTGGGACTTTCAGGTATGACCAAAATAAAAGCATTTATTAGAGCAATAAGATACTTTATTTTATTAGAGCAATGGAATATACAAAAAGAATGGCATGAACTTTTATTATAGCTGTATCTTTTAGCACACACAACTCATTTATTTATTAATGTCCTATTTCCACCATTTCCAAAAATAATTGGAAACATTTTTTACTAAAGTCAAGTAAAATAAGAAAAACACATGTTAACACTAAGAAAAAAGAAACAGCAAACTTGGTAGCACAGCCAATAGTGGGGAATATGTGAGGATATCAAGAAACTTTTATTTCTAATTGTCTTAACATTTTTAAAACTTAAATTCATTGTGTAAATTATAGGTATGATTTTTTTAGAAATGCTTAAAAAGGAAATTGTAATTATATCATTTCAACAGATAAACATCCTAGGTGAAAAAGATGATACTCCAGTTCATTTCTGTGACAAATGTGGATTGCCTATTAAGATCTATGGGCGAATGGTAAGTATAATTAAATTGAATTCTATTTTATAAATGTGAACATTTTTGTAGAGGTAAGATTCTGAAATTTTAAGTAGATAGGTTTTTCACGGTTTAATAACAAGTTTGTGACATTTAAAATAAATGGGAGCTTTTGGCTGGGTAGCTCAGTTAGAGCATTGTCCTGATACGCCAAGGTTGTGGATACGGTACCCAGTCAGGCCAGGGCACATACAAGAAACATTCAATGAATACATAAATAAGAGGAACAACAAATCAATACTTTTCTCTTTCTTCTTCCTCCTCTTCTTTCCTCCCCTTCCTTCAGGGACCCTCTAACTACCTCCTTTTCCTCACTTTCTAAAATCAATAAAATAAAATAATTTTTTAAAAAGTTCAGGGAAATTTTGGGATAATAATGCATTTTAATATAGTTATCTTGACCCACTCTAGAATTGGTTGTGAAGTACTAATTAAGGGAACTTACTTCTGAAAACGAAATAATTTCTTTGGACTACTTGATACCTGTTAGTTTATATTTATTCTGTTTTATTGTGCCACGCCAGCACAGCCAAGGCGGATCTCCTGTGCCTGGCTGAGGCCACAGAACAGAATCAGACTGCAAAGCTGATGCTTGCTTTATAGTCAGGGGTAAACATGGTAATTTACAATACAATGTTCTTATAAATTTTACTTGATTTGGCAGCACTTGCTGCCCCTCCCACAGCCCACTAGCTTCCCAGGAAAGGTCTAGGGAGCAGTCACAAGATCAAGCTTAATTATGCTTAGAGGGCTGTGCCCTCCAAGCTGGGACATGTTTGTGACTTTGCCAGCAGGTCAATACCAGGCTTACCCCTATAACCACTCCCTACAGTTTATTAAGGAAAAATGCTTTTTTTTTCTTGGTACAATAAAATTTGATACAATAAAATGAGTTACTCATTTTGGAAGGCTATAATTTTTTTAAAATACGTTTTATTGATTTTTTTTACAGAGAGGAAGAGAGTTAGAAACATCGATGAGAGAGAATCATCGATTAGCTGCCTCTTACACACCTTCTACTGGGGATGTGCCCACAACCAAGGTACATGCCCTTGACCAGAATCGAACCTGGGACCTTTCAGTCCGCAGGCCAACACTCTGTCCATTGAGCCAAACCGGTTTCGGCAGAAGGCTATAATTTTTAATGTAAAATGAAATCAACTATATATTTTTTTTATTTCTGAGAATTTAATTCTAATAATTAAAATAAATTATAATTGATTGTAATTTTATAGTATTTTTGACATTTTTAAAAAAAAGATAGTTGTACATTTGTGTTTGGAAAAAAAATTGATTCAGTAATATATTTGTGATGGTAGAGAACATTGATTGTGCACTGTTGCTTTGCTGTATGACATAGCTAAATAACTAATGGGTTATGAGTTTTAAAATGGCCTAATATAGATTTTTATGTTTACTAGAGGCCTGATGCATTAAAATTTGTGTAAGGGTAGGCCTTCCTTCCCCCAGCTGCCGACACCAGCTTCCCTCCGGCATCTGGGATCCAGGCTTCCCTTAGGCCGCCCCCAGGCACCTGGGGCCCAGGCTGGCTTCCCTCCAGCCCCGGCTTTGTCCCCGGAAGGACGGCTTTTTCTTGAAGGATGTCTGGAATGACATCCTGTCTAATTAGCATATTACCCTTTTATTATAGATTATAGTAAGGCTAACAGGAAAAACTGTTACTTATGTTAAATGTAGGAGATATTTGTTATCTTAGTGCTTTGGAATAGCTTCAGGAAGAACAGGATAAGATAAAACATGGTTACAACATTACTTTTCAGGAGCTTTGAACTCTTAGGGACCATGATGAAATTTAGAGGGTTTATAACTTCGGGAAGTATAAGTGAATGTGCATGTATACATTTATTGGGCCAGAGTTTTCATCACATTCTCAAAGGACTTGTGACTGAAAAAGGCTATTGCTTTTGTATAATTAGTACTTAATAAATGCTCATTTTAACAAACAGTTCTCAAGTGTCTGTGTCTAGGTTACTATTCTTACTGTTATTTTTTAAAATATTTTGATTTGTTCTAAAATGTGTCACTATATCTCTGTTTACAGATTCCATGCAAGCATGTTTTTTGCTATGACTGTGCTATTTTACATGAAAAAAAGGGAGATAAGATGTGTCCAGGGTAAGATCATTAAATTTTTAAATAATAAAGCTTGTGATATAAATTTATAATATTGATTAAAGGTCACTGGCTACTCTTTATCTGTGAGCCCGGAGTTGGCCTTAGCCTTCTCCCTAGATAGGGCTAGGTAGCTGTGCCAATTAATTCAGATTGGCCAAAAATGACAAAATATATTTGTCATCACAAAATTTGTTAGAAGCCAAAAATAGTTATTTTATTGTTTTGATGGGACACTAGAAAGGTAGTATTGCATAGTAGCAATTGAGAGTAGCAAAGACTTTGGAATTAGAATTCTTGGTTTCAAATTCTTTTTCTGCTATTTGTTAGCTATGTGATATAGACTGTTTCTTTATCTATAAAATAGAGCTAATAATAGCACCTGCATCCTTGGATGGTTATTAGAATTAAATGAGAGTGTGTGTGTGTGTGTGTGTGTGTGTGTGTGTGTGTGTGTATATATATATATATATATATATATTGTTCAATGATTAAATACTGTCATTTTCATTGGTCCATTGATCTTAAGGATATCTCAGACTAAGTAGATATAAAATATAAAAACATTGAGTTAGGTAGAATAGATGCTTTAACCCATCTTTTATAGATGAAGAAGGACATTAAATGACTTCTCCAGAATTACAGAGCCAGTACTAGATCCTAATTCTTCTGATTCCTAGTTTAGTTCTCTCCACTATTTCAGAAGACTCTAAAGGCAAGAGTGGGTTATATATAGAGGATGGAGAATAGTTACAATTTTGACCCCGAGTTGTTAAAATACTGAGTGCTTGCAATTCAGAAAGGCAGCAGTATGTAATAACTTTTTAGTAGTAAATTTGACCATCCAGAAAGATCGCTTCCATAAAAGACTTGATAGCCAGGGTTTGAATTTAAATTTTGTGTTGTTTAATGTTAAGAACCCTGATAATTAAGATGATTACTTGTTTTTGTAGTCCTTGTAGCATCTCCTATTTGTGTCTGTGTCTTCCACTTAGTATTATTTCCTCAGCAAATTCTGGAGAAAATCAGGTAAATTCTAGGTCTTGGGCAGAATAAGGTTTTTTTCTTAAAACATATTCTATTTGATACACTTTCAGTTTTTTTTTTTTTTCTTTTCTTGTCTTGTGAGTTCTGAAGTTGATAGAAATGCTGTTACTTAATAGTGAACAAAAAAACAAAGTGGGAAAGGTTAAAGGTTCACTTATGGTATAATTTTTAATTGTGAACTTTTGCAAGTTTCCCTAAGTTTAAAAAATGAAGCATATCTTTGAAATGAAGTGCATTATTTTTAAAGTCCGTTTTAGTAAATCAGTTTTTTTCTTCTTCTAATTTAGGTGTAGTGATCCTGTGCAGCGAATTGAGCAGTGTGCACGTGGTTCTCTCTTCATGTGTAGCATTGTTCAAGGGTGCAAGAGAACGTATTTGTCTCAGAGAGACTTACAGGCTCATATCAACCACCGCCATCTGAGAGCTGGAAAACCTGTTACCCGAGCTTCACTTGAAAATGTTCATCCTTCTATTGCCCCACCACCAGCTGAAATCCCTGATCGTTTTATAATGCCACCAGACAAGCACCATAGTATGAGCCATATTCCGCCAAAGCAGCACATCATGATGCCACCACCTCCTTTGCAACATGTTTCACATGAGCACTATAATCAGCCACATGAGGATATTCGTGCTCCTCCAGCAGAATTGTCCATGGCTCCACCTCCACCTCGTTCAGTCAGTCAGGAAACCTTTCGTATTTCAACAAGAAAACACAGCAATTTAATAACTGTCCCTATTCAGGATGACTCAAATTCAGGTGCTAGAGAACCACCACCTCCTGCCCCAGCACCTGCTCACCATCATCCTGAATATCAGGGTCAACCAGTGGTATCGCACCCTCATCATATTATGCCTCCACAGCAACATTATGCACCACCCCCACCTCCTCCACCACCAATAAGCCATCCAATGCCACATCCTCCCCAGGCTGCAGGTACTCCTCACTTGGTTTATAGCCAAGCTCCTCCTCCTCCAATGACCTCTGCTCCACCACCAATAACCCCTCCCCCTGGACATATCATTGCCCAGATGCCACCTTATATGAATCATCCTCCTCCAGGACCTCCCCCACCTCAACATGGTGGTCCACCTGTTACTGCACCCCCTCCTCATCATTATAATCCTAACTCTTTACCCCAGTTCACTGAAGATCAAGGAACTCTGAGCCCTCCATTTACACAGCCAGGAGGAATGAGTCCTGGTATATGGCCTGCACCAAGAGGGCCACCTCCTCCTCCACGAATGCAGGGCCCACCTTCTCAAACCCCACTTCCTGGACCACATCATCCAGATCAGACAAGATATAGACCATATTATCAATGATAAGAGTATTTTGAACTGAAGATATGAAAAAATGTGTAGTCAACCTTTTAATTAAGCTTTGACTGTTCTGGGAAGGAAAAATCTTATTGAGATGGCTATAAAACACTTAGGGTCTTATCTCTTAAAATGGTTTTAAATCTTCATCTTAGGGTTGATTTCAAGTACTATACTGTAGTGCAGATAAGTGGCTCAGTGGAGCACAGCTATATTTTAACAACTTTGATCCCCTAGTGTGGTAAATTGGCCCACAGGTGACCATTTGTAAAAAAAAAAAAAATTTGAAAATTTTTATTCCACTTTAAAAGGTGTTGCTTTTGTTAAACCCAGTTTTGTTTTTCTTGTGACACATTTTGTTAACCTGTGTAAAAGGATTAAATTTCAATATGGTTGTAAAAATGCTATTTTTATGTGAATTTAAGTGCAACCACATACTGTTTTTTAAAACCATATGTTTTACCACTAATTTCCCAAAGTTACAATAAAATCTTAAAAGTAAAAATCTAGAATTTACTGTAAGGCAGACTGTTAAATGATAGAGAATTAACATTTTAGGCACTGAAATTTTGAGATATATTAAGTATATAATGCACTTCACTTGGATGCCTTTTCATTTATGCAGTTCAGGAGCTCCAAAATACGTTGAAATTCCAGTATTGAGATATATTTATGTTTGAAATATTAAAGGCATTACTAATTATTTGGAAAGATATGGCCAAAGTAACTGATTACAGTCTCCAAATAGTTAGGGGGATGCTGTTATTCATTAATGCTTTTTACTGAATGGTTGGAATCACATAATTCACCACACTTTTTAATCTTAAGTAACATTATATAACTTTAAATGGTGTTTAGATGAAGGGTGTTCTACTCTACTCATTGTCTTTAATATTTAGGGTTGAAAAGGCTGTATGTAATTCCTCAGTTCATGATAGAGTTTGATCCTGTGCTTAAGTGTGGTCTTGTTTATTGGAGTTTAAATCACAATATGAATGCCATGGATGAATTTGAATACTGTATTAATGAAGGACATTCTTGTAGTTACACACTTGCATTGCTCAGGTTTCATTACTGTGTGATAAGATTTCTTTCTTTAACTTGGAATTTGAAAACTATTAATTTCCTTTTTCTTTTATTGATTAAGTAGTCTAAAATTTGGGATATTTTAGCATGGAATCAACAGTGAAGACTACCAGATGATTTTTTATTGGAGAAAAAGAATAACTAAATTGTGAATTTCAGTGCTTTATAAGGTGCCTTTAGAGTCGGCCTTTGCGTTGTAGGGGCTTGTTATAGTCCAGCTAAGATAACCACTCAGTTTCTACAGAACTCATGTACACTTCGTTATTCTTAGGATATATCATTATATATCCTTTGAGTAAACCCCTGTGAAGTATTTCCTTCCCCCTAAAATGGTGCATAATATAAACATGAAATATGTAGTGTGCAGATATCATTTATTAAATAGTTTGTAGTATATACATTTAGAACATTTCTTTTTGACAAAGGGTGAACTGATTGCTATTTACCACTTAATTCTGTCAGTTACAGGCAAAACAATTTCTCATTTTGGATAATCAGATGCAAAGTCACCTATGAACTTAAAAGAGTTGAAGTTAGAAATAATACAAATGGCCATTTCAACCATGACCAGTTGAAAATAATGAATACACTTTTAACTGACTTTCCACACTTATCAATTAGAGAATCCAATGTTAATGTAATACTTCTAGTGAGAAAATTTTGTTATTAGAAGCATGGGAGTGAAATAGTGTGAAAAGTTGGTGGGAAGTGCTTCTATCATATTACTGTAGGTACTTGGACTGGTGCAAACTTGATTCCCTTTCATGCCTCTATCTAATAGCCGTTAAAAATCCTATGCTATTTGTTTCATGTAATAAGAGAATATCCAAATTTTTTAGAGCTCAATTATTTATGAAGAACTCTTCTGTTTTTATTGAAATTCTCTAGAGTTGAATGTGGCTATAAAACCACTTAGCCTATGTACTGGACAAAAAAATTAGAATCATGATAAAAGTACACATGTTAAGAATTCTCATAGGCATTTAAAGTGATTTATTTTCAGTTAGGTTTAAGAAATATGTTATGCAGGGAGGCAGATCAGATGAATGTCCTAGCAGACAAATGTGTTAGACTTGAATTCATCCAGTTATTGTTTGAACGGGGTTTGGGGGAGGGAGGGTAGTAGTAGGATAACAAAATTACTGTTAGTATTTCTTTCCTTAAAAAAGATGTGAATTCCAGCTTTATTTCAGGGAAGCCTTTGAAACTATAATGGGCATAGTTCTAAATTAAATGTATGTATGTTTCATTATATTGCTCCTAAGACTACTGAGGTGGCAGTTTAATTCTTAAAAAACAATAAAATGGAACCATAAATACTATATTGCCTAAATGAGTTTTTACCTAATGACACATTTGGGATAATGTAGAATTTTTCATGTTTTTATTGATAGAACTTTTATAGTAAAATTAGGTTCATATTTGGAGATTAAAACCAGCAAGTTGAATGTTAAATTTCTTCAGTGGCATGTTTGTTCAGAATATTATATAGTATTTGGGGAAATAGTTGCAAAGGCCATAAAAAACAAAAACTTTATATCCGTTTTGCCCTGTAAAAACCACTGGCTCAAAATTATTGTGTAAATACTAGCTAGGCAACATTGAAATATAAATGAAAAGATAATTGCACATATTTTTTAACTCACATAGGAAGCTTATCATGTGAAGTATAGTATACAGAGCTGCTTTAGGCTTTGTACTAGAAGAGTGTCTTTCATACACCTTTTTGGTCCTGTCTCATAAAAAATTTCGTGGAAGTCCTATAAGTAATGGAAAAAACTCACAAATATCTAAAACAAAAGTGCATTCTAATTATTAGATATGCCATCAAATTGATATATTGATGTTGAAATGTGACAATACTCAAACATTTTCTGAAGTGGATGAATTTTTCACTGGTTTGTAAGTAATCTCTCGTGGCCTTTGATCTAAGCAGAATTTACTTACTGCAATTTATGCACAATCTAATAAAGCAGTATTGGCTATCTTAGACTTAAGGGGACAGGGAGGTAAGCCAGTTAAAATACTTAGTAGTGATACTAATAACATTTGGATTTTGTTTTGATTTATGCTCCTTTTAATTTCCCAGCATTGAGGGAAAGAGTGTTAAAGTAGAATTCTTAAAGGAACAATTTCGTGTTAAAGTTTTGTTGTCTATAAGAATTTTTAGGCATTATTGGATCACAGGATTGAAATGAACAATGATAGGTCATGGGTTTAGCTCATAATTGGACAGGACCATGTCTTTTTTTTTTTTTTTTAATCTAGTGTTTTGAAATGTTAATCTATTAACCCCAGAATACCCCACTTCTAAGTCTTTGTAGGCACCAAGTCTCATAATTGCACTTAAAGTCCATTTCTTACTAATCTACTTTTTAAAAATTTTCTCTCTTTGCCTTCAGATTGAAAATCTGCTCTTTTCTTGCTGTTACTTTCAAAACCTCTAATTGTTTTAAAATTTGTACTCATTTCACCCTAGCTGTTTTAGCTCTGGATAGAGCATTGGCCTGTGGGCTGAAGGGTCCTGGGTTCAATTCCAGTCAAGGGTGCATGCCTGGATTGCAGGTTTGATACCCTATAGGGACCGCACAGGAGGCAGCTGATCAATGATTCTCATCATTGATGTTTCTATTTCTCCTTCTCCCTCTCTGAAAACAATAAAAATATTTTAAAAAATAAAATTTGTACTCGTTTCAATTACATAATTCAATTACATACATCTTTGGGGGGAAATAAAGCTAAAGTACCCCTTTACCACTGATACAATGAACATTTCCCTTCCAGAGAGAAGTACTATTATAACTTATGTGTCTACCTAGCTAATAATTTTAGTTATAGAGCTGACATCTAAATAGGCTCCATGCTGTGGTTCAGCATCCTAATCCATGGTAAATGTATCTTATGATCTCTATTCAATAAATATGTACTGAGCACCTGTCTGGGATATAAAGATTCATCATTCAGATAATTATGCTAGATGCTATTCTACACTTGGGTTGCACGAGTCTCTAGAGACAGACGACTAACATATAAGTATGGTAAAATCCTATAGGATAAGACAAAAAAAAAGCTATCAATTAGGTGGTAGGTAGATTTGCAACTTTATAAGAGTGGTTTGGGTAGAACTCAAAATAAATTTGGGCACATAACCTGGGACATAACTTTCCAGCATGTAAGAGTCTTACTAGTAAAAGGATCGCACTGACACATTTGAGGAGCAGTAAGGAGATTGGAGTGGGATAGGTGAGATGAGTGGTAGGAGGTCAGAGAGGAAGTAACAATGGGGAGATCAGATTTTCTAGGCCACGGTAGGACTTGGACCTTCCTCTAATATGTTAAGACATTTGAGGTTCTGATCAAAGGAGTGAAATATCTGGCTCTTTTAAAAGGCTTATTTTTGGGTCCAGCTGGCATGGCTCAGTGGTTGAGCATCAACCTATGATCCAGGAGGTCACAGTTCAATTCCTGGTTGGAGCACATGCATGGGTTGCAGGTTTGATCCCCAGTGTGAGGCATACAGGAGGCAACCGATCAATGATTCTCATCATTAATGTTTATCTCCCTCTCTGAAATCAATAAAAATATTTTTTTAAAATAAAAAATGAAAGTATTTTGTCTTTTGTTGAGAAAAGATGTGGGAGACAAAGGTCAGTCAAAAGTTTGCTTTAAAAATTTACAGAAGATTAGCATTGTAGGTATCAAGAAGTGGGTGACTGGTGGAATGATGTATATGTAGACATACATATGTATATTCTATACAATAGAGGCAATATGCAAATTGACCCTCACCCCATAAACCACCACAAGGTGGCAGCGTGCACAGTGGGGGTGGGACAGCCAGTGACTGCTCAGCATGGCTTCTGCCAGGTTTCTGCAGCCCTGTGGGGACAGGGCCCGATGGCCACTGTGCTCGGCCTGGAAGCAGGGCATCGGGGTGGCACTCCAGGACTCGGGGGCCATCCTGCAGTATGCTGACCACGTGAGGTGGGACCATGGTGCGGGGGGATGAGGGGTGGGAAGGGGGGGGTTAGGGGGGGCAGGGAAACGGGGTCCCAGGTCTTGTGCAACAGGGCACTAGTATATATATAAAAGCCTAAGCAGCCGATATGACCAGTTGACTGGAATGACAGGTCGCTATGACATGCACTGACCACCAGGGGCAGATGCTCAACGCAGGAGGTGCCCCCTCCTGACTCTACAGCAGTGCTACTGAGTGGTGGCACCAGCATGCAGTGGCAGGAGCAGCGGGGTGCCTGGCCCCGGCTCAGGCTTCTCGTTGACCGCCTGCCACTTTGACACTGCTACATCCCTTGGAGATTGGGCCAAAACTAGCATTCCAACACCCCTGAGGGGTCCTGGATTGCAAAAGGGTGCAGGTTAGGCCAAGGGACCTCACCCATGCATGAATCTGTGCATTGAGTCTCTAGTGTGTATATATATATGTATAAAAATTGTATGAATATATAAGAAAACAGTGAAATGTAAATTATATATATATATATATATATATATATATATATATATATACACACACATACACACACACACACACACACACACACACACACACACACACACTAGAGGCCCAGTGCAAGAGTTCGAGCACAGATGGGGTCCCTCAGCCTGGCTAGTGGTTGGGGCTGATCAGGGCGGGGGGGAGAGGGGTAGGAGGGAGGGATGACTGTGGGAAGCTGGCCAGCTGTGAGGGGTTGGCTGTCAGTGCGCTAACCACCAGGGCACAGCTCCTGCATTGGGTGTCTGCCCCTTGGTGGTCAGTGCATGTCATAGCTACTGGCTGGTCATCTGGTCGTCTGGTCAAAACAGTTGCTTAGGGGGATATATATATATATATATATATATATATATATATATATATATATATGTATTAGACATGGATATATAATGATGAACAAAATAGGTATAGTCCCTGCTCTTTAGGAGCTTACATTCTTACTTATGTAGGAATTATTTATGGTAGTCACCCCTAAATTTCCTTAAGGTTTTTTTAATGTTTTTTTTCAAAGTCTAGTAGCCAGGAAAAAATATTTTTTAAATGTATTACCAAAATACACACACACACACACACACACACACACACACTATAATGAGAGGAAAATATTGATTAATTCTGGGCATTAATATGTTTCCTAATAGCTTTGCTGGGCACACTTATACAATGCTAAATTAGTGACTTTGGAACAAATCTGTAGAATGCACCTATATTGTTCCTAAGTTTAGTCCTGCCTCATGCTAGGTCAGATTTAGTCAGATTTTAATTTCTTATTCTTATTTATTTATTTTTATTTATTTTTTATTGATTATGGTCTCACATAATTGTACTTATTCCCCCATTCTCATCCCAAACCCCTCCCTAGATATGCACCCCCCCCCAACCCCCATTGTCCATGGCCTCTGGCTAGGCCCATATGTATGCATCTTATTATTTTTTAGACAAGTTTTAATTTCTTTTGGGAGGTAATGTTTCTAATGGTTCAGAGCCTGGGCTCTGGAATCGGACTGTCCCAGGCGTCTTCAAACTACGGCCCGCGGGCCACATGCAGCCCGCAGAGGAGTCTGATCCGGCCCGCCAGGTTTTTTGGGCAGTGAGCGCAGCCGAGGTGTTACAGTAGAAATTAGTAGTTCATATAGTCTGGCCCTCCAGCTCTCTGAGGGACCGTGATCTGGCCCCCACTTTAAAAAGTTTGAGGACCCCTGGTAGACTGAATGATGGCTCTAATATCTGAAACTATATAACTTAGACTAATTGCTTATTCTCTTTGAGGCTGGATTCATTTTGCTTTTCTAAAAAGTGAGTATAAATATTTAGGTGACCAGATGTCCCGCTTTTGGCGGGATAGTCCCGATTTTTAACAATTTGTCTCACATCCCGCAGCATTTTAAAAAAAGTCCCGATTTTTCTTTCCAAAAATCAGGACTTTTTAAAACACCGTGTGGGGACTGTCTTGCCAAAAGCGGGATGTCTGGTCACCTTAATAAATATAGTACCCATCTTATGGGGCCTATTTTGAGAATCAAATAAATTGATTCTAGATATACTTTAGAGGTGGGGTCAAACAAGCAAATAGGCCCATGCTTTTACTTTTATTCCCGCCTTCTATTGTATAAAGAAAGAGCTTTTAGCCTGAGATTCATTGGGCACTATATATATAAATGTATATGTGTATGCACATCTTTTTTCCTTAAGCCCGAAGGGTGCATGAGGCTCTCAAAGGTGTCCATGACTCAAAATTTAAGAAATGTTGTTATAAGAAGTGTCGATATTCTAGTTTTTAAAGAGTCGCTATGTAATAAACCTTTGTTTTGCCTTCCTGTAATTGGTTTTAAAGTCCAATAGACAAGCCCATGCAGTAAAGACACTAATAAAGGATACGGAAGTACTCTGAGAACAAATAAAGGTGTGATCTAAAACCACTGAGACAGCATCTTCCATTGACAAAGCGATCTGATGTTGAACAGAGGGCCCTGAATCTCCTTTCTGTCGGGGCTGATATTTAATTTCTCACAGTTATATCAATACTGTCTGCACCAAGAGCAGTGCCAGGGGAGGAAAGAAGCACGTGTGTGCTGACACTCATGCACCAGCTACATGGAGCTGCAGAGCTGTCCTCCTGCCCTGTGAGCAGCAGTGAAGGGAGAGTCAGACTGTCCTCTGCTCTCTTTTCCTTCTTCCCAGGAAGACCAGGAAGGAGGGGCCACCCATCGAGTATTCTCTTTCCTTTTTACCTTCTTGCCTTTTCAGTGTCTATCTTCCATGAGTGGACACAATTTTCAAAAAAAAAGGATTTGCTTCAAAAGCTAGTAATGAAAAGGTTGTGTCTAAATCTAGAGAGGAGGCTGGATGTTTTGAAAAGCTACAGTGATAATCATATAATCTGTCCGAAACCGGTTTGGCTCAGTGAATAGAGCATCAGCCTGTGGACTAAAAGGTCCCAGGTTCTATTCCGGTCAAGGGCATGTACCTTGGATGCGGGCACACCCCCAGAAAGGTGTGTGCAAGAGGCAGCTGATCGATGATTCTCATCGATGTTTCTAACTCTCTATCCCTCTCTCTTCCACTCGATAAAAAATCAATTAAAAAAATTTAAAAAAAAATCTGGACAGGGGCTTTAGAAGATTCTAATGTAGCAAGCTTCGAGTCAGACCGTTGAAAGGGGGCTCGCAGCAAAGGTATTTCAGAAAGCAAACAAGAAATTTAATAGAACGACACACCTACTGTACAAATGGAATTTTTTTAAGTGGAGCTGTATTAATGACCTACTGTATGAACAGTATAAATTACAAGATTCAAAGCAGTGGTGTCATAAAACATGTGTGAAAGCAGTGATTTGGATAGAAATCTGTCAATGCTACAAA